CGACATCATAATAATAATCAGTGTATCAACGTTGCAGCGTGCAGCCCGACCCAAAGTATCCTCACAACACAGGCCCTCGGCCTTACACAGTCAGAATCTCATAAGCCACTCGGGCAACAGTAAAACATTATGCTCAGCTAAAAATAACTTTTAAAATATCGTTTAACGTGTTAAAATAGAGTAAACATGACTGAGTTATGAAAACAGTAAAAGATAGCATGACTGAGTACAAGTATAAGGTCAAAACTGTGAGAAAATGGCAGTAAAAATTCCCTAAGGGTCCAAATAGTTGGCACGAAGCCCAAATGGGCATTTAGCCCAAAACATGATAACATCAAACAATTAACAATCAAATACGCAGTAAAACAATCATTCGGTATGGACCAAATCACAATCCCCAACGGTGCACAACCCAACGCTCGTCATCTAGTCGTGTGTCACCTCAACATAGCACAACGATGTGTAATCCAGGGTTTCATACCCTCAAGACAACATTTATAATCATTACTCACCTCGATCTGGTCCAAACTCTAGCCCGTGATGCCTTTGACCTCTCGAAATGACCTACGGATGCTCCAAATCTAACCAAAATTAGTACATAACCATTAAAATATGCTAAGGGAACAAAGCCCACTCAAAAACATCCAATTTACATCAAAAATTCCGAAATTGCTCAAACCCGGCCCCCGGGCCCATGTCTTGGAATCCGATAAAAATCACAAAACTAGATTCCTTACACTCTCACGAGTTCATACATACCAAGAACATCCAAATCGGACATCAAATGGCCATTCAAATCCCCAAAAGAATTCTCAAACTTTTCTTCCATTTTTTCCCAATTTCCACTCTAATTTCTCAAATTAAATGATGAAATTCAAGAGTAAATCATGGAATTAAACCAAATATGAGTGAAGAATACGTACCCCAATAGCTCCACTGAAAATCTCCTCAAAGTTCACCTTCTCCCGAGCTCTCCAATGGCTTTTATGATATAGGACTTAAACCCTCGATTTTAAAATATAAACTATCTGCCCAGTTATTTCTCCATCGCGGACGCGGTATATCCCTCGCGTTCGCGAAGCACACCGCTTCACAGACCGGAATTCCTTCTACGCGAACGCGAGAACCCCCTCGCGAACGTGATGCACAACTGACTCAACACTTCGCGAACGCGACTTCTACTATGCGAACGCGTAGAACAATTGCCTTGGGGACCCAGCTACTCCTCTTCCTCTATGCGAACACGACATAAGCCTCGTGAACGCGGATCACAGCATCACAACATCGCGAACGTGACACACGAAGCGCGAACGCAAAGACAAAATTCGCCGCCTCAGAGAACACCCTTCGCAAACGCGACTCCCTGACCGCGAACGCGAAGAACAAACCGTCTGCAACAAAAACCAGCAAAAACTGCCAAGTCCAAAGTCCAAAATTGATCCGTTTAACCATCCGAAACTCACCCGAGGCCCTCGGGACCTCAACCAAACATGCCAACATATCCCATAACCTCATTCAAACTTGTCCCAACCTTCGGAACGCTCAAAACAACATCAAAACACCAAAATCACATCGGATTCAAGCCTATGAATTCCAAGAACTTCCAAATTCCGCTTTTGATCAAAAGGTCTACCAAACCTCGTTCGAATGACCTGAAATTTTGCACACACGTCACAAATGGCACAACGGACCTACTCCAACTTCCGGAATTCCATTCCGACCCTTATATCAAAATCTCACCTATCAATCGGAAAACGCCAAAATCTCAATTTCGCCAATTCAAGCCTAAACCTTTCACGGACCTCCAAAATACATTCCGATCACGCTCCTAAGTCCCAAATCATCTAACGGAGCTAACCAAATCTTAAAAAATTTCCGATCCGAGATCATATACTAACAAGTCAAAACTTGGTCAAACCTTTCAAATTTTAAGCTTCAAACTGAGAACTGTTCTTCCAAATTTTATTCCGATTATTCTGAAAACCAAAACCGACGATTTACATAAATCATAATACATCACACGGGGCTGGCCATGATCGAGAACTGGCGAACAAAGTGCAAAAGCTCAAAACGACCGGTCGGATCGTTACATTAAGAGAGTTAATGATTTATACGTCTTATCTGCCTTTAATTTATATATTGAGAAGATGAGTAGCAATGATAACACACATCTTTGGCATGCTAGACTTGGACATCTTAGCATGAATAAATTAAAAGCCATGATAAAATTGAATCTAATAAAAGGAATGCCTAACTTAAGAAATTTTGGTGGAGGTGAGGTTTGTGAATGATGTCAATATGGAAAGGCACATCGTCTTCCATTTGACAGATCCTTGTCAAGGTGCAATGCTCCACTAGAATTGGTTCATAGTGACTTGATGGGGCCAATGAGAACTACTTCATTCTCAGGCTATTCTTACATGCTAATTTTCATTGATGATTTTACTAGATTCACTTGGGTTTATTTTGTGAATCACAAGTCAGAAGTTTTCAATAAGTTTTTGGAGTTCAAAGAAACATTTGAAGGCAAACTCGATTCCAGAATAAGGCAGCTGCGGACTGATAATGGAGGTGAGTTCACTTATGAAGAATTTCTCTCTTTCTATCGTCGGAATGGTATTAAAAGAGAGCTCACTTGTGCTGATACGCCACAACAAAATGGAGTGGCTGAAAGGAAGATCTGACACTTAATTGAGACATGTAAGAGTTGGCTTCATACCAAGAATTTACCTAGAGCCTTGTGGGCTGAAGATATGAAATGCGCAGCGTATGTGATTAACAGGATGCCGCTTTCTCCAAATAATATGAAGTCTCTTTATGAATTAATATTTGGAGAAAAGCTTAGTGTTAAACACCTCAGAGTTTATGGCTCTATTTGTTATGTTCACATCCCGGATTCTCAACGCAGCAAGTTGGATTCCAAAGCAAGAAAATGCATCTTTGTCGGATATGATGAAAGAAAAAAGGGTTAGAAGTGTATGGATCCTAAAACTCATCTCTTCGTTGTTTCAAGGGAAGTCATATTCGATGAATTCTTTTTGTATTATGGAATTGCGGAAGAAGGGACATGTTCTAAACCCTTGAACCTTGAAGCATCAAATCTGCCTATCACACGTACTTCTTTAAATAATACAGTTGTCGAGGAGCTAAGAGAAAGGGGGAGCCCAAGAACTTAACGACATGAAACTCAGCAAGGAGATGATTCAAGTGTTTTAGGAAGGCCAAAAAGAACTATTGTCAAGCTAGCTCGTTTCAAAGATGAAATTTTTATCAGCACATACTCATGTTCCTTTGCAGGACCAATTGAAGAACCTTACGGAAGAAAGAGGAGCCAGAAAAATAGTGTTGAGATCTTTACCAAGACACGTCCTAAAGAATCGGTTAAGTTCTTCCGCGACAAGCGTGAGATAGCTTCCAAAAATTCACTTTAAGGGGGAGTGTGAGAAAAATAAAGTTAATTTTTTCGGGAAAACATAGATTTCTCTAGAATGTCCTAGTATACTATCCTTGATATTTATCTAGTAGACACATCTAGATGTTAAATGTTGTGGGAAAATAATGTTATCTAGTAGACATATCTAGATATTCTAGAGTGTTGTTAGAAGATAAGATTAGCTAGAATCTTCCTTGTACATTATCTAGAATCATCCATAGACAAGTATCAATAGGGGGTGTCTTGTTCATTTGTAACTAAGCCAAAAATTCAGAAAGCCTTTCTTTCTTAAACAAGTCCTCCTCTCCAAAACTCTCTTTCTCTTTTTAAGCTTCCTCTTCTTTAGTTGAATCCTCCAATCTTAGTTAACGATCTTGGGCTAGCAGAAGGTCTCCAATAATATTTTTGTCCTGCTATTCTTTACAATATGTTGTCTAAAGAAATTCATATGGACACAGGCAAACTCCTCGGGCTTGGTACAATGAACTCAAGACGTTCCTTCTTTATTTGGGATATGTCAAAATGAATCTGATGCCTCACTTTTCATTCGCAAAGTGTCGAACAACTTTTTGTATGTGCTAGTTTTTGTCGATGATATCATCATCACCGGGAACCACAACTCAGATGTAAATCAGGCTATCTTTTGTCTTGCTGGATGTTTTTCCATTAAGGATCTCAGGAACCTTAACTTTTTTCTTGGAGTTGAGGTGCTCCATATTGCAGATGGAATTACTTTATCAAAGTCAAATTACATCAATGAAATGATCTCTGAAGAAAACATAAAAGACTGCAATTCAACAAAAAACCTAATGAGTGCCACTGAAGTGCTTCAACAAAAGTGATGGAAAAATCACCACCAAGCACAATAAATGGAGGAAACAGCTTAATGGCGTCACCAGTATATCAGTGTGATAGCTCATGAGCTTGCTGAGGTCTCAAGTAACCCTCTTGTGAATGCTTGGTATGCTGGGGATGATCCTATTGCACCTACTGAGATTGCTGATTTGTGCTTGGGTGTTTATGGGACTGGTGCTGGTGGTGGATTTGTTGGGCAAGTGTATAAGGATAGTTGGGGCAATGGTTTCAATTTGCATGGAGTGAAAGGGAGAAAGTTTCTTGTTCAGTGGGTCTGGAGCCCTCTTAGGAGGAGATGCTTTGGTCCTAATGCCATGGATTAGATTAGTCATGGTCATTGACTATATAGCTAGAAGGATGTTCCTCTTGTACAGAGTAGTCTTCAAGTTAAATTATGCCCCTTGTATTTTCTCTTTATGTAATTCTTTCTTTTCCCCTGGCGTATGTTTCAGATAAATTACTATGTTATTGTTATTGGAATTGTCATTGTTAAAGCTCAAACAAGATATAATGGTAGAGAAAAAGGCAGTGGAAAAATATATCTGCAAAAGATGTGGTAAGAAGAGTATCAATAGTAACTTCAATGACAACTTGAAGATGGCATGATGGAAGATGATCTATGGAGAATAACTTTTGACAAACTATTGCTTTATTTTTCAATGAAAAGTATGAGTAACCCTGTCGAACCCGGTTTCTATTTTCAAATGTGCATTCTGCATACTTCATTCTGCTTTCAGATCAAGTTGTACAATGGAGGCAAAAAGGTTTTCGGAAACAACTTTCGCATGGTGGAGGTATAAAGGACTTGCTAACAAATAAATATAATAGGCCTACAGACATAAAAAATAAAAAAAATAAAAAAAGTTTGCTTCATGTTATCCTTATTCTACTCTTATTATAACAAGTCTTCTACAAATTTTATCTGAACAAACTTCCTGGCCTCAAATCCCTACGTCAATGTGTGACCAGTTGAAGTCTTATCTTCTTGAGTTCCAAAAGCGCTTCTTTCATGTTGATTCTTGCATCTGGTGACACTGAAGTGCAGCTTAACGCCAATTCCATGATAGAAACCAAACATTGCATCTCTACATTTAGGGGTTCTTCCTTTGGCCTCATCAAATCTGCATCCACTAGTTGTGTAACTCCAGTAGGAAGCGAGTCGTTCACCCAATTTCTTTGCTTAAATCTCCAGTAAACATTTCATCACTAGGCCTCCTCCTTGTGAATGTTTCCATCATCACGATACCAAAGCTGTAGACGTCACAACTTGTTGATACAAGTCCATCTTGTCCATACTCTGCAATGATGATGTTAGAAATCATCAGTTTAAAGTATTTTATACTAGTTCGATAGATGAATCATCATGCGAGAAAGATAAGAGAAGAAGTTGAGGTACCTGGCGCAATGTATCCAATGGTCCCAATAGTCTTAGTTTGTCTAGAACTATCCTCTGCACCTAACAGTTTCGCAATCCCAAAATCACTTAAATGGCCAACCATGTTGTGATCTAGCAAAATGTTGCTAGGCTTCAAATCACAATGCACCACTGGCTCTGAATAACCGTTATGGAGATAGTCTAAGGCAGATGCTACATCTATCATTATGTCCAATCTATGCAACATGTCTAAGAATAAGTCATGAGAGTGTAACCATTTGTCAAGGGTGCCATTTGGCATGTACTCCAATATTAAGGCCTTGAACTTAGAGTTGGAACAAGAAGTTATGACTTTCGTCAGGTTTCTATGCCGAAGGTTGCGTAAGATCTCACATTCTGTGTCAAAGCTCTTGAATGCACCTTCAAGTTCCAGGTTGAATACCTTCACTGCGAATGTCATCCCATCCTTTATCCCTTTGTACACCTTGCTAAAACTCCCAATACCAAGCAAATTGTCCGTGCTGAATCCATTTGTTGCTTGTTGAAGTTCATAATACGAAACTCTTTCGTAGGCCCTCATGGATGATACCTGATCAGTTAATCCTGATGGCTCATTTCTATTTCTTCTTCTTCTTAAAATAAGAAATCCAACGGCTAATGCAACAAATACCGATGTTATTCCCAAAAGACTATACAGGATCGAGAAAAGCACTCTTTTTCTCCTCGCCCTTCGCGGAGACTTGACTTGACATGGAGGCACTTGGAGCCTTGATACACCACATAATGCATGATTAGACACAAAAGACTGATTGGTGAAGTTTGCGAAAGGACCACCAGATGGAATTTCTCCGCTGAGTTTATTGAAGGAAACATTAAGGTATCTGAGGTACACAAGAGCTTCTAAGGACTTTGGTATTTCACCAGTTAGATTGTTATAACTCAAATCCAAGAATTCCAAGCTTAACAATTTCCCAGAAGACTCTGGAATGGGGCCATCTATTCTGTTGTGTGATAGAGAAAAATTAATCAATTTTTGTAGACCTCCCATCATGCTAGGAATCATGCCTGAAAAGTCATTGTATGACAATTCAATTTTTGTAATAGCCTTTAGATTTCCAATTATGGGAGACAGAACACCAGAAAATGAGTTTGATGCTGCATCAAGTATCAATAGATCTTGAAGGCTCCACAGGCTCTCAGGTAAACTGGAGTTCAATCTGTTGGAAGCTAAATAAAGATTTCTCAAACTAGTAAGGTTCCCCAAACACGACGGTAATGGACCTGAAATTTTATTTTGCCTAACACTCAGGTCTCCAATATTTTGTAAAGAGCAAATTTCATCTGGAATAGTCCCACTTATCATGTTACTTTGTATAAGAAACCTTTGAAGCTTCTGCAAACCTCTAACAGTTTTGGGGATGAACCCTGTCAAATCATTGTCAAATAGTGATATGATAATCACATTTGTTAGGTTTCCAATTTCTTCTGGTATAATGCCACTGAGTTTGCACCAGGGTGCAGAAAATATTCTGAGAGAGCTCGAGAAATTACCGATAGAAGCCGGAAGAATGCCATTCAAGGGATTTGGACCAATGACCAGTTCTCTTAGATTTCGACATCTTGTCAGTGAAGTCAGGAAGGTTAGAGTGATTCTGGTTGATCAACTTGTTTTGCCCTAACTGTAGAAGTTGAAGGTATTCTAAATTACTTAGGGAATCAGGAATGGAGCCTGAAAAGCTGTTGTTAGAAAGGTCTAGAGCAATGAGTTTTGATGCATTAGAGATTGAAGCAGGGAAGAGGCCACTGAGATTATTTATTCCCAAATAAATTTCTTAGAGATTTGGTGTCCCTTGGCCTACATTTAATGGTAGACTCCCTGAAAGCTGAGAATCCACAATGGTCAAGATTTGGAGGGATGAAACTTTGAAAATGCTTGCTGGAATTGAGCCACTCAGCGTATTTTGATACAATCCGAATATTTGGAGCTTTTGAATATATCCAATCTCCATTGGTCCTGCCAAATTAGGAAATTCAATAACACACAAGTGATTGAATATAAATGAATTGGCAATGAGGAAAGGGACAAAAATTAAAATTAACTGAACATCCAAAATGCATGTGGAGAAATAGAAAGACATCTCTTGAAACTAAATAGCACGCGAAACTGATGAATCCCATTTTAGCACGCGAAAAGCACTTACATGTATTGCTAGGTAACTCCAAGCTGCAGTGCTGTCAGCACAGTTAAGTTGCCGATTTCTGCTGGTATGGTTCCGGTGAGATTATTTTGAGACAATGATAATATTTGAAGTTTTGAGCAGTTCTGCAAATTTGGAGGATCAAACCGATTGCTTGAAAGCGCAAGTACCTCTAAATTTGGAAGATTGTCGCATATATTTCCAGGAAGTTTCCCATAAAGATTGTTCTTTGTTAGACCAATCTGTTTAAGTGATGACTGGTTAAACATAGTTGGTGGTATAGATCCTATAAGCTTATTATCTTGCAGGTCTATGGAAGTCAGGCAACAAAGGCTACTGATTTCTTGAGGAATTTCTCCACCAAGTAAATTCCCTTGCGGTCTTAAATTCTTTAGCCGAAAAATGATGGGATTGCACCAGTAAAGTTATTATTCATGAGCCAACTCCTCAGGTAAATTCCCATGGAAGGTATATCGAGGGAATGAGGAACGAGAGATTTCCAAGGTCTAATGGAACCGTTCCTTTAAGGTTCAGTGACGAAGGCCACAAGTAACTCCAATCCAACTACAAACAGGAGTGAAAGTGGACCAGTTTCTTGCTAAGATATTGTATAAAGAAATTTGAGATTGCAAGGCAAGAAGTGTTGTTTGATATTGGCAATCGACAAACAAGTACTCATTTGCTGAAGCAGCAAAACTACAACAGCAAGATGCATGAATACAACCTTTCTCCATCACACTTTGGAAAGGTCTCTTCATAAATATGCGTTTTGAAATTGTTTGGATAGTCAAGCTTTATAGGAGTAAGCTATAGAAACTTACGAATTAAGCATTTTTTTTAGGAATCTCAAACCAACTTTTCTACGTAAACGAGTGCAAATTTCTTCTGAACAGCCGCAGCAAAACAACACTAAGGTGGCAGTTATTTGCATCACTAGATCTTGACATCTAAGTTCTGCAAAGGGTGAGTCATAATTGAGTTTCTTTTTGAGGTGTGTATGAATATTTAAGATAAGATAACACTAAAGAAAGAATTTTCGAGCCGTCGTTAGTCAAGGTGGGTCAGGAAGCAGCAATACTCATAGCCGAAGAGTCGACAAGAGCCGTGGTCGAGACTTCAATAATGGTCGAGGTCGAGCACCGTTGATGAAGCTGTAACGGCTAGTTTTCGAAATAGGATATTAAAGAGGATATTCTAGTGCATGTTCTCTGCATTTGTACTATTACGATTTACTAGGAATATGTCTCATATTAATAGAAAAAGAGACAATGATATGAGCATGTGATATTCATTTGTAAGAACACACTTTGACAAAAAGATTCTCTCTCCCTTACTAAGATACAAAAATCACCTTTTCACTAAGATTCTTGTCGATATTATTCCATACTTTTCCATCAGATCCGAGAATGATTCGAACATTCAAAGATTTGTTTGTCATTCATTATTGTCACGAGGGACAACCAGCTACTTCATTTTTTATTGGGTGAATCATTCCTCTTATTTACTTAAGTGTCATTTATTGTTATTCATTGCTATTAAATGCTAAATTATTACTCATGCTTTTTGGAATAGTTATTGCATACTGTTATCACTATTCGACCAGATCTATCTGATGTTTATCACACTTTCGGAAGCTACATCTAGAAATATTATTGTTAACTAAGTTTAACCCATAATCCCATAAATTTGACTATTTGAACCAAGAGTCATATTTTTGGGTTAAACAAGGTGGTCATCCATTTGATTAGTTCGAATTTCATACTGGCCATGAAAAGTAGTAACCTTAATGCTTGAAAGAGCTGAAATATGGGAGTGGCGTACATACTAAACACCAGAAAACAAGATCAGGATATGAAGTCAGAAATCTTTGCATTGATATAGGTGGTTGATTTTTGACTGACCATTTTCAAAACAAGTAGGTAATTTCATTGAAAAATGTTAGGAACTGTTAGGTGTTTGCAGCGCCGGCTTAAGGGTGAAGCGGATGAAGCCACCGCTTGAGGCCTCAAAATATAGAAGGCCCCAATATATTATTATTATTATTATTATTATTATTATATATAATATGGAGTAATTTATAAATTACTATTTAAGGTCACAAAATATATATATTTTACTTTTTTGAATATGGTTGAAACTATTCTACTGAGTGAGTAGATTACGGAAAATTTATTTCTATTTCATTATTTAGTACGAAATTTGTTCCCTTCGTTTCATTTTTTTATTATCTTGTTGTTGTTACTGCTTGTTGCTACTGATTTCTTTTCATCTTTTCTTGAGCCGGGAATCTATCGAAAATAACTTTTTTGCCTTCTAGATAGGGGAAAGGTCTGTATACACTCTACCCTCCCTAGACTCACTTATAAAATTATACTGAATTTGGTATTGTTGTTGTTGTTCGATATTTAGTATATTTTTTCACTTCCTTCTTCAACTCTAATTTTTTCTTTTCTAGGCACAACAATTTCATTTTTTTGTTTCTGACTATTTTCCTTTCTAATTTTAGCTCTTCTGAATTAGTTATTATTATTTTATCTTGTTTGATTGGTCTATCGATCATAAAGTAATTTTTTTTTGGCTCATTAGTTATTGGTATATGGATTTTATAAAATAAGCTTATGGGTCTTTTATTATGGTTTGGCTTTAGGCCACCTAATTCATTGAGTCGCCCCTGGGTGTTTGTCCAGATTTCTTACCATAATTGGTTTTCCTATCTCATGAAGGAAAGGATAACATATTTACCATAGTTGGATTTTTCTTTTCCAAGAAGGAAAATATTATTCTTCCATATTTGGCTAGTCCCTTTTCTTGTAGGAAAAGGTATGGAGTTCTATGAATTGAAGATCCGTCCTACTCATTCAGTAGCATCCACAATGTAGCCATATAGGGTTTGAGAGTCGTGTTTAGGGGGAGAACTTTATGGGACAAGTGTTAGTGTGTCACTTGTGTTTGCCTCTTCGTGAGGTTGTTCTCTCGATATTTTGTACTCTCCTTTTATTATAGTGGCTCATCTCCGCTGTGGACGTAGGTCAGTTGACCGAACCACGTTAAATGTTTGTGTCTCTTTTGGTAGATTTCTCCTTTATTGTCTGATTTATCGTCGTTGAATGTTTGCTTTGCTAGCTTCCGCATGACACCTGATTTTTAAATCCGAACAGTAACTTCAAAACACTCAAAGATCTATCTACGTGGAGCTATTCAAATGTTCTAGTATTCTTTTCGTATCAACTTTATTTTCACAAGCCAACAACCAATTAATCTTGGACTATAAGTAGCAAATCTTGAACAATAATTTAGAAGAGAGAGCCATTTAGGGATAGATCTAAATGGTGCGTCAAATATTGCTATTCCTAGCTATAGTCTAATGGTTGAATTAGTCGTGCATGGCTCAGGTAAGAAAGAGGGAACCTTGAAAGTTATTGAAAATGAACAATAGATAGGTCAAATATTGCTATTCCTAGTTATAGTCCAATTATTAGAGAGTCGAAGAAATTCTGTATCAACATGAGTATTTTATGGATTATTTCTTATTAACCTACTTAGGATTCCGAGTGTCTGAGAAATTCTTTCTTTTGCAATGTATTTAGGCTTTAGCCACTACTTTAATAAACTTATACCTGACTGGACGAAAATACCCTTCTGATATAAGTTATACCTACGCTATTATAACACACTCGACGAAAACCAAAAGCAGCAGCAGCAGCCGGCGATCGCAGCAGCAGCAGCGACTGGACGAAAAATTCAAAATTCTCATCCAAAAAATCGACATAGATAAACAGTAAGTTATACTTTCATGTGTTTCTATCGATTTTTACTTCGATATAGTTATACTTTTTCCGATTTGTATTGATTTGATTATATAATAGATAAGAATTTGATTTTTTTTTTTTTGAATTTCTGGATTGATAAACTTAAGGACATCGCCTCCTATGATAATTCTATAAAACTTGAGCACATAATATTAAGGACATAGTGTCTTCATTTTGGAAATTGAATTCAAAAATTAAGGACACAATGTCCTTAACTTTGATTCTACTGTCCTCATTTTGCAAATTGAATTGAAAAACTTAATGACACAATGTCCTTCACTTTGTTGTTGTTCTTCTGTATACTAAGTCCTGAAGTTTGAGTTTCAAATTGAAAAAGTTAAGGACAGGAAGTCCTTAAGTTAGAATTATAGATTGAAAAGTTAAGGACATAAGTCCTTAATTTTTGACTTGCAGGTTAAAAAGTTTAGGACAGGCAGTCCTTAACTTTTAATTCCAAGCTTAAATGTAAAGGACAGGCGGTCCTTAAGTTTTGACTTGCAGGTTAAACAGTTTAGGACAGGCAGTCCTTAACTTTTAAATCCAGGTTTAAATGTTAAGGACTGGCAGTCCTTAAGTTTTAATGTCTTGCTCAAAAGTTAAGGACAGGCAGTCCTTAAGTTTTAATTCCAAGTTCAAAAGTTAAGG